CTCTCTCTCTCTCTCTCTCTCTCTCTCTCTCTCTCTCTCTCTCTCTCTCTCTCTCTCTCTCTCTCTCTCTGGCTGTAGCTCTGGCTGATAGCACAGCAGCTGTGTATCGAGGCCTAAGGCACCTTCTTGCACTGCACAAACACATTAGTTACAAGCATCTCGCTCAAGACAACATGTCGGCACGCAAACGGCGATAAAGAAGGAGTTACAGCGAACAGAGAAAATGGTCAACCAACCGTAGCAGGGACATGCATAATTATCTCATACAGAATATTAATGTGCAAAGTGTGATATGGACCCAAGAGCAAAGGAAGGGATACTAATATCGAATTAAATCTTGTAGCTAATGATATAGTTATTAAACGTGTTCAAATACATTAATAAAGCTAATCATAAAGGTAAGCTGCTACAACACAGTAAAATCAAGGGCACAGGGGGGGGGGGAGGATGAGTATAGGTGAGTTTGGGGGCTGAGAGACTCATCACCAGGACTGACGTCATTCGGCACACTCACTGGGCGAGGGGGGGGGGGAGCAGCAGCCAGTCCTCCAGAATAGTCAATATGAAAGCCTCGTTGAAACTGCTCACCGTCAGTGATTTTCTTCACTTATCAACCTGTTCAGTGTTCTGGGCGCTAAGCACTGAGTAAGGTCGCGCCACCGCTCACAACTTCCTGCCACCTATGTTGGTCTCAACGCACGCAGAAAGAAGGAAAATATTTTATGAAATGTAATTTTATAAAGTTCAATAAAATGGTATATATGCATTTGATTACTATTTAATGTGAGAACTGTAACCTATCGTTAAGACTTCATAAACGCAGCAAGAATAATGCACGAAGATAATTTATTGAAGATAATGCAGAACTTTCCCTTGAAGAGGATATCATCACCGGCATATGCCAGGTTGGTCAACAGAGGAACTGCCTTTAGAAACTTGTGTACGGAATAATTTAGAACCTTATATACCACATATGTCAGACTACTACTGGAGTATGCGGTTCCAGCACGGAGGGTGGGAGGGAGGAAATTATCGGGGGGGGGGGGGGGGGGGAAGCGCCAAGCCATTTTCATTATATAGCACTTGGAAGGGGTCAGTATCAGGATTTGAGATGGGCCGGAGTGGAAAGAATGGCACCCAACCAGCTGGACGGTCGGGAATTGAACGCCGATCAGCATGAAGCGAGACCGTCGCTCTACCGTCCAGCTCAAGGCGTCCATATCTGGTCAAGCACAAGACTAAATAGAAGGTTAAATGGTATGCACTAGATTAATATCGAGCTGAGGAGTACGAGTTACGAGGTGAGACTGTAGGAATTAAACCTAACGTCGCTGGAAGACAGAAGAGTTAGGAGAAACATGATTACCACATACAAGATTCTCAGGGGAATTGATAAAGTAGAGAAAGACAGTTTATTATACACAGGTGGTACACGCACAAGAGGACACAGGTGGAAACTAAGTACCCATATGAGTCATAGAGATATTAGCTAAAACATTTTTAGTTCTTTCTAATGCCTCTTTTAGTTCTTTCTAATTAGTTAACAAATGGAATGCTGAATCTAAAACAACAAACAACGAAGGACAACCCCATAAGACGACTCTATCCCAAAGGTGTCGCCCACCGGCAGTGGTACCCACCCGGCACCTTTCTCAACACCATCACCCAAGCCGCGATCATTCATCGCTCACCTCATTCGCATATAAAACATTTTCTCACAGCAGAAAGGCAGGACACTGTACAAATCAGGTCAAGCTACCAAATGAAAGCTCGGACTCACTTTTGGGACAAGCTTCGCCCCTGTACCCAGTATGCAACTATACAAGGCTTTTTAGCATTAAATAACGCACCAATAAATTCCCGCTCCCAGTAAGTGGTTTACAGTTAAGAGGAGGAAAATGCAGCCTTTACCTCGTACTGTTGAACACGTGTTAGAAACATCCTTTGACGAGGCTGAGATCCATAACATATAAAAAATGATTCACCACTGGACAATAAACAAGTGTAAACACCGAACAAATAAACTAATTAAAAATAAACACAACCGCGAATTAAATATCCATTAAAAACAAAAGTGGTGATTTATTAGCCACTTTATAACATACAATAACAACTTATAACTCAACTTAAAGAAATTATTTGGAACCATATAAAACACGTTTAAAACAAGATAAAACTGCAGTTATATAACACCTTCAAACTTCCAAAAATAGCTAAAAAAATGTAACTAATACGAGAGGAAGTGATACCAGAGGTCATTACGTGAGTGCCATTGGCCGAGCGTAAGAGCCGCAATAAACAGTAATCACCAAGTTAGCTGCTGGACATGGGGGGGGGGGCGCCACACTGAGTGCCTGGTCTGTACGGTCCTCGTGGGAGCTGTGTGGCACCTCACCTTCCCACCCCAAGATGACCAGGCCAGCCGGGAGGGTGGAAGGGACGGAAGGGCGAAAAGGACAGGCGGGCGGAAGGGACTGGCAGACAGAAGGGGCAGGCGGTTGGAAGAGGTGAATGGAGGTGCGGGCGGAAGAGATGGAAGGGCTGGTGGAGGCCAGTAGCGGATGGATGGGAGGGGCAGCAGAAGGGGAAACAGGCGGGCGGTGTTGGTAATGTCTATGAATAAATATATCCGCAAGATGAAAGACGCGCTGAGGCAACTACAACTGCCTCGTCACAATGATCATATGAAGTATTGCTGTAGTCCTAAAACTAGAAATTAAAATACTACTACAAACTATAGAAACTATAACAATTCATAATTAAGTGCTTGAACTTGATTTGAACAAATGCCGAGCCACACAAACACGCTTCAACAAATTATACCACCAAGACCAGCACTCAGACGCACGCCACCGTGAGATTCGAGACTTGCAATTAGTATGTAATATGTCCAGTCATCCAAGGGGCTAAGGGGATGATCTTGTGATACTAGATCATTGATGGACTGATAAGGGACATAATGATTACAAATCATGTTACTCAGATCAGTGACCCTGGTCGACGACCGGGCCGCGGGGACGCTAAGCCCCGGAAGCACCTCAAGATGAGGCGTGCGGCCCAAATGTTCACAATCTGGTTGGGTCAACCGATTCCAGGAGGAGTTTATCTACGTAAGGTGATTATAAGGAGAACCCACTAAGCCATTACGGCTATATAGAGCAGGTGATCCAAGCGTGTCTTCAAAATATCTACGTCTATTCCAGTAATATTTCTAATACTTAGTGGAAGGTGGTTCAAGAGCCATTGTGGGTACAAGGTTATGCCCTCTACATAATAATACTCAAAAAATGTATAATACTGATAAACGAATAATTGAACAAGTAAACCACTCGCATCTGGGAAAAAAAGTGTGCCATTCCATGTGTTATCAAAATCAGCCACAGTTCAAGAGCTGGTCTACATCAGACTGACTTTGAACACGTACGACTATACGGTGCTCAAATTCACTTTGAACATACAAGTCTACGGTGTTCAAGGAATCCTCGTGGTTTCTGTCCTCACCACTTTCAAGTCACGCCAAAATGCAATCTTCGTTTTTGTATTAAAAAAACTCTCATGCACACCTTAGATTAAAGCACAACTTTCCCCATTTCCACACAGATCCTGGACACACACGGTACAGTAACTTGATAAGCTATTAACACCCCACACACGTACAGGGCAATAACGTTACCTGTTCCCAGCTCCCCGGCCACGTACAGAGCCATGATATGTGTGCCCTCCGCACCGTGGCCTCCGTGTCCAGTGAGAGCACGTCCGTGGACACCAGCCATTTGTTTCCCGCCGCCCTAGTCGCATAAATACCTTGGACATTCATCATTTGCTTTCCCCGGAAATGAAAGGTAAGTCAGAATCGTGCAACATACGTGCGTGCATGTTTTGTGTGTGAGTATTTACTATGTGTGCCTGCAGGATCGGGCTTTTAGCTCTTGGACTCCGTCTTTCTAACTGTCCTAGATTGTACCTGGATGGGGTCTTGGAAGTTCTTCTACTCCTCAAGTCCGGCCCGGGGCCAAAGCTTTGTGTGAGCTCGGTCCAACAAGTAACAAGTGTTGCTAGGAGCGTTATATAGTAGGAGTTATCTCCTAGTATGGCTCTACGGTTATCTTCTGAGTATGGGTCTACGGTTATCTTCTGAGTATGGGTCTACGGTTATCTTCTGAGTATGGGTCTACGGTTATCTCCTGAGTATGGGTCTACGGTTATCTTCTGAGTATGGGTCTACGGTTATCTTCTGAGTATGGATCTACGGTTATCTTCTGAGTATGGGTCCACGGTTATCTTCTGAGTATGGGTCTACGGTTACCTCCTGCCTCAAAATAAGATTGCTTCTGCTCCACACTTGGGTCGGTCCTACTTACAAGGCTTCAAATCGGCGAAGGCTCTAAATTCGCAAAACACCGAGGTTGAGTACTCACTCCGTGACACTTTATAATCAGGTGAAGTGCCGGGCCGTTGGTTTCGATCACGTACAGAAGACCTATGATTCATAACGTCATAGGTCTTCTCACAATGACTAGAACAGATCTAGTGACCTTTAAAGGTTCATTGGCGGATGTATAAGAGTTCTACAAGACACCACTTTATCTGGCCCAAATAATGCTTGGTGTGAGCATGCATGTCTGTTGCGTGTGACTGTATGCTTGGTGTGTGTACTCACCTAGTTGTGCTTGCGGGGGTTGAGCTTTGGCTCTTTATGAATGTGTGAATGCATGCATGTGTGTGTGCTTGTGTGTGTTCGAGAGCTTGCACAGAGTAACTGTGTATGTTTTAGCAGAAGATGTGCTCACTACTGTCAACAGTAAAGCCGTGTGGGAAAGCAGGCACCTGGCACTCAGTCCAACACAGGTGCCAGGCACCTCGAAGCCCTGATTCATCTTATAATACCCATCACTACCTCCACTAGTGTCATCTTTGATGAGATCTTTATCAGCTTGTCTTCATCCGCAATTATATCAAGTAAATTTACTGAACGAATCTAGCTACAGATGGGAACTCACCAGAAATAAACCAGAAGAGTCGGCAAGCTCTGAAAAGATGAAAAAATTTAACATTAATATAATAAATGGACAAGTTTTCTTAAGATGAGAAATAATATAAATTAACAATAATTACAACACTACGGGAGAGATTCATATTTGCCATTTATACTGTGCATTCATGTCAAATGATTAACTCAACTGTTTCTAGCATTACAAATCACCTCAAATACATTATATATATATATATATATATATATATATATATATATATATATATATATATATATATATATATATATATATTTATTTAACAGTATGCAAAAACAAATCCGTAACTACAAGAACAATTCTTCCCAATTAAAATATTTCTTTAGATTCCTCTCTGTGTACTGACATCTCTGGGTCGGTACTTGGCTAATTAAATGTCGATGATGATTTTGAGAGTTGTACTCCCTCAGTGTGGCCAATGGCCAGCTTTCTCTCGTGGCTGCTAGAGGTTGTCTGCCTTGTTAGCCACTACATAGGGATAACAAAAATAATAACCCAGCTACTTGAGTGCAATACCTGAGAACTTGAGTGTATCATAAACCCATGAGAACAACTTGACACTTTCAATGACTCCCTTAGTCCTCCATACCCACAATTATCAACTTATTTCTCTCTCACTTATTTCCGTTGTCTCATCTTTCACCCCTCCCCATCGCACTCAATTTTCCTTACTTTTCACTAATATCTTTCCTCTTATCTATCAAATTCCTGCAACCTCTCTTTTAAGATACTTTGCATGTCTACTAATTCTATCTTCAAGATTTTTTTCTCACAATCTCACAGCACACACCTCCACTCGCAGCTCTCTCTCTCTCTCTCTCTCTCTCTCTCTCTCTCTCTCTCTCTCTCTCTCTCTCTCTCTCTCTCTCTCTCTCTCTCGACACAAAGCCCTCCTACCTTGCGGTATTTCCGAGATCAATTTCCTCGCAGCCCTGACAAAGACTCGCGATAATGGTCAATTTATTAACAGTATTATTAACAAATTAATATTTAATCTTGCCTAATCTAAGTAATTTAATGAGTTGTTATTGCAGCGAGGCTGCTGCCCCATATTAACTGTCACGCAGGATAGATAAAGATACTCCGTCACAATTTAGAACCCTCAAAAAAACAGAAAACTGTTCACTGTAGAAACCTTTATGTCCACAAATAGTGAGATTGTGAATTTGATGTTCTGAATTTATATTTTAATTTATTGATTAGAGATCTATTACAATTGAATACAATTCAATGTAGCGTTTATCGTTATAGTCAATAGTCACTCAAAAAATAAAATATTTACAGTGTTCTGAGGGTCCATCCGCAAAATGGCAAGCCACATTACCAAGTTAACATTACGACGCTCCAAAAGATTCATAATACCGTCATCAACACTTAAAAAGTCCATTAGTTTACTGAGCTCCCGTGTTGTCAACAGCTACGATGGGAAAGGAAAGCTGCAGGATTGCAAGGAGGCTGATGAACTGCCTACAACAACATCGTACACTGCGTGGGGGGAAAGAAAAGGAAGATTACAGACCATTTGAGCCACGCATCACAGCTTCAGCATTCGAAGAGAGCAACGATGAAAACGAAAAGAGGAGAGAGGGGATAAGGGCGTGAAGAGGCAGGAGCAGTAGAGGCAGGAGCAGTAGTGACAGGAGCAGGATTTGAGACAGATATCAACAGATATCTGACAGATAACAACAGCGTTGACCAGACCACACACTAGAAGGTGAAGGGACGACGACGTTTCGGTCCGTCCTGGACCACTCTCAAGTCGATTGTGAATGATCGACTTGAGAATGGTCCAGGACGGACCGAAACGTCGTCGTCCCTTCACCTTCTAGTGTGTGGTCTGGTCAACATACTTTAGCCACGTTATTGTGACTCATCGCCTGCACTGTCAAGAGAGAAGTGGCGAGAAGGATCTCCAGCAGCCAGGCCACAGGAGTATCACCGCTATACAACACAGCTGCCTAAGGTGAAACAAAACCAGGCAAATCCCTTGTCACCATCCTCGGTGCTAAGCCCTTCTGAACACCCACCTGGAGGAGCAGCAGCAGCAGCTGGAGGAGGAAGAAGAGACGGAAGGCTCGTCTCGTGGGAGGAAAGACAATATCCGGTAAAAGGAAAAATAAGGACAGGAGAATCTGCCTTAGGAGTCAAGAAAGAATTTTAGATCCATGGAGATGGATGAGAGGAAAGGCTGGGCCGTATGAGGGAAAGACAATATCCGTTGGCAGGAGGGTGGGGGGACAGCAAGAGGGGTTGGGGGGAGAAAGATAGAAAGATAAAGAGAGAGAGAGAGAGAGAGAGAGAGAGAGAGAGAGAGAGAGAGAGAGAGAGAGAGAGAGAGAGAGAGAGAGAGAGAGAGAGAGAGAGAGAGTGGGAGAGAGGGAGGGACGGGAGAGGAAGAATAGGGGATAGAATGGACGCGCACTAAAATATGTTTCATCGAGATTTAGCACAATTACAACTTCCACCTGAACATTTTCGCAAACGCGTCGCCCTGAAATTTAATGAAGTTTTAAGACTGTTGACTTCCACGATTTCTCCAACTTTCCCAGTTAAGAACAACAGTTCCGCAGAGATTAAGTCAAGGGACTATAAAAAATAACAACTGCAACGTGAATACTGACAAACAACTGCAACAAATATGGATTAGCCCCCATTTGTTTACAAGTTTTTCATAACGCTCCATTTGGACGTGTTAAACTGTTGTTAATTGCCGTGACCTGCCTGTGATAAACAAAGCCACGTGAGCGATGCATACAACGCACACACTACATATAGTCCAGTAAACAGTACACCAGAGTCTAGAAATTTGTGCCTTTACAGAGTCCAATGAGCATTTTTGTATGAATCCAATTTGCAGCGACAGCTGCTTATATGGGGAACTGGTCGCCGGTGGACCATAGATGCTGTCCTCAGGCCGGCAACACAGTGTACTCGTTCAGTATACACTTAGACCAGTTCCTGGTGGGACTCAGTGGCACGGGCTTGCTGTCG